TTACTCTGGGATTATTAGCTGAAGTTTTTTGCTTGATAGCCCAGGATATAGATCAAGATAGTATCAGACCCCGTTTCACCAGGACAAAACAGAACTTATCCAAAATTTCTCGTGTTTTTGTTTTTTTTCCCAACTTTTGGTTTTTACATTTATTGCTTCTGTATGGTCACGTGACATCCTTTCCGTTAACAGTTGTTAAACACTTTTTATCTTATTTCGTAAGTTTTTTAACAGGGTGTCCAATGGGTATTACGAAGACACTTGGGTATATTCATGCCCTAATAATTACTCCCTCCGTCCCACTTTGATAGTTCCGTTTCTTTTTCCACACAGTTTAAGAAAAAGTAATTAATTTTATTGGAAAAGTAAATTTCGATTGCTATTTTTTTAAAATACCCTCACACTAAATATGGTACAACTTTATGAAAATTTGAATTGATGGTAAAAAAAAGAATCAACTCTCATTAAATGGGGTAGGTTTATAGTAACAACTACTTACATTGAATAAGGGTATTTTAGAAAAATTAAAATATAACTACATTCTTCAATTGGAAAGTAGACTACAATTTAGAACATATGAAAAAGGAATACAAGACTATCGAAATGGGACGGGGGAAGTATTATCTTTCATTGTATTAATATATTTTTCATAATTAATTTTACCTTTTAAGAAATTTAACACCCAGGGCATATATGCTAACAAGTGTACCACTGTTAGACAAATCCTTCTTATTTCTTTACACGTAGATAATATTTTCATGACTCATGATTTTGGATGTCCTTTGAGGTAAATTACTACTTTGTTAAGTTCTAAACAAAAAGTCTCTATGAGTCCAAGATCCTTTGAATTAGAAGTGGATTAATCATTTGGACTGTCTTCCCCTTTTTTTATTGTTTCCTTTATTATTATTTTTTCACGTACTTTGTATTAGAGGAAGAGCAACTTAAAAGATTCAAAAAAAAATTCAAAATTGACTAAACCACCACCCCTTGATCTACGCCGTTGCCTTGCGAGTTTTAAAATTATTTTGACCATGACGGACTACCCATCTCTTTAGAATTTGATTGGATCAGTACAAAATGTTGTGCAATTCTTTCTCGTGGTCCATGTGATTCGTCTGGCAGGAATCCGACTAATCCGTCCAATAGCCCAGCGACATCGCAAATAATCTCCGCAGGTTTGTTTTCAGCTGTTGGATGCACTATTGAGTCGAGAATCTTGGTGAGACTCGGAACGCGACTTCGCCCACGCAGTTTATCAGATTGTTTTCAGCTGTTGCAGGCGCTACGTAGTCGAGAATCTAGTCTTCTTCTTTTTTTTTATTTTTTATTTTATAGCCTAATCTATTCTACGTTAAGGGGAGGGGGCGGGCTTAAGGAGGTCCAGGGATAATTCGGAGGAAATTGAATCACCACCGAATTAAACGGATGTATAACATATTTACATGAATTTTTTTTTGAAATAAATCACTTAAATGTGGCATTTTGATGGAAACCTTGCTTCCCACCTCATCAAGTTAGGTGGTGGCCACCATCTCAAAAGCTGGTGATTTAGTCGAGAAACCTTGCCTTTCACCCCACCAAACCAAGTTAGGTGGTGGTTTAGTCGAGAATCTAGTCAGCGACGGAGTAAATTCTGATTTTTAAGTTTTCAATAAGATTATTGTCTTTTTGCAATCATTCACGCTTTGTACGATAAGCAAGGCCTGGTATCAGCAGTCTCAATGGTCTGGCTCGTGCCGATAACCAAGATCGAATCCGTCCAAATTTCTTTCCTTGAAAAAAAATTAGCATGAATCTGAAAAACTGAAAAAGAAATAGGTAAGTAATATTTGTATTTTAAATATAGTTTCCAACACTTTACTCTATTATTTTGTTAAGTAAAAAAAAAATTATTATATGTTCAAAATTATCTTACCATGCAAATATCAGTTTTGTTTGGAAACTATTTTTATAAAAAATAGGTATGTTTCTAAATTTTTTATAAAAATATATATATATATTACTATAACAATTTGATATATATTATGTAAAAAAGATGATTAAAAAATATATTCGTGAGAAAAAACGTAGCAAACAAACAATTGGATCCACTCCACCAATAGAAAATGGAAAACACACCCGATCATTATTAGTCAATAAAATACAAAACAGACCATTGGATTCAATCCGCCAACAGAAAATGGAAAAGCGACATGATCACATTCACGCTGTAGTTTCAATCCACACTATGAACAAAAGCAATCGAAAGATTTTAATTCTTCGAATTGTTTACTACTATTATTATGAATTCAGTGGTCCCTCGACCCCCGATTGCAACTTTCAATAATTCCTTTCGCCCCCACGTAGACCGTCCCCGTGACAACAGTGTCTCGTCACTTTCGTTCATATGGTTGTTCAACTTCTATCCCTGATTGGCCATTTGAGCTCTGTAATCATGCTGGTCTAATTAGATAATCTCGGATTATTGCTCAGAAGAAAAAAGAGAATCTCACGCTGTTATTATATGCTTCGGACAGAAGAATCTCATGATTGTAGCTATAGCGCATTGAGGGTCTGTTTGGTTGGAAGTAAAATGTTTTCCTTGGAAAAATATTTTTTGTGGAAGTAATTTTCCATGAAAATCATTTCCCTTTCATCATTTTCAGGTGTTTGGTTAGCTTATTGAAAATATTTTTTTACTTTATTTTTCTGATGTTTGTTTAACTTTTGAATGAACTACGAACGTATAATTTGGGTTATCCCTCTTGAATGAAGTACAAACGTGTAAAGCGTACATTGAGCCTGTGTGGTTACTGTAAAAAGTTTGTTTAACTTTTGAAATATTTTCACTTTTATCTCTATCTTTACTTTCTACACATTATAACTACATATTTCTTCCCATGCAAAATAAGAAAATTTATCTCATTGTTTAACTTTAAAAGATCTTGGAGAAATGTATATATGAATAAAAAATATCTCCTTAAGCAATAAACAAATTGCTGGCCATTTAGTGTCAAATATCAATCACATGCAATGCTTATTGTAACATATATCTTGCACTCTCACTGTTGAAAGTTTCTCTAGAAAAGAATGTCCCTATTATACAGAATTAATTACTAGCATAGGATGAGCATGTTGAGGTTTTTTTTTTTTTTTTTAATTTTGAATATACTAGGGGGAGGGTTGGGTTGGGTGGTACGAGTAGGGCTGCAAACGAGCCGAGCCGAGTCGAGCTTTGAGCTAATCGAGCCGAGTCTTGGCTAAATTTTATCAAGCTCGAGCTCGACGAGCTGGCAATTTTCGAGCTCGAGCTCGACTCGAATCAAGTCGAGCCGAGCTCGAGCTCGAAAAAAATAAAAAAAATTATTTTATTTTTAAAAAAAATAAATAAAATAATATTTTTTTTCTGAATAAATAATAAAATATTAAGGATATATCCGTAATTTCACTATGAAAATAAAAAATAAAAAAAATATATATAATATAAGTAATTTTATTATTAAATAAAAATAAAAATAAAAAAATATATATATATACTCAAGCTCGCGAGCCGGCTCGCGAGCTAACGAGCTTAATATTTTGAGCTCGAGTTCGAGCTCGAGCTTGACTCGAGCTGGCTCGAGCTTGATTAATGTCGAGCTCGACTCGAGCTTGACTCGAGCCGCTCGATTCGTTTGCAGCCCTAGTACGAGGGAGGGAATGTAAAGAAGAGGTCTTGGATTGAAATCCTCTTGTTTACACTAAAAAAAAAAAAAAGAACATACTACAAGATGTTTTTAGTAAGTTTGGAACATACTACAGGCGGGATGCATGTATTTCGGAAAACAACTTCAATAAGTTTGGAAGGGAAGTTGTTTTCCATAAGATGAGTAAAAATATTTTACATAGGAAAATGTTTTCAGTAACTGGAAGAAATTCTACACTGGTATTGATAATGAGTACAAGATCATTAGGTTTGAATGGTTGGCACACAAGCGAAAAATTTTGAAACAAATAAATAAAGGAAGTTGGCTAAACTATAGTATGGGTGGAAAAAATGAACTATATATATATTAATCATCAGAGTCGGTTCAATGATCAAAAGAGAACATTTTCATTGTCACATTCAATGTTTGAATTTTGAACTTGACAATTGGATGAAAAGAGCGTGATGAGAGTTGAGAAGTGACGAAAATAATAAGATGCTACTCCATTGATACCAATTTACCATACAGAAAAGGCAATTCTGAATTGAACGATCTATTACATGTCATTTGTAATTGCCCTATTTATTTCGCTTTCTACATTTACATATAATTACGATGCTGTAGTTCTCGTAATTTGGATTTTAGGGTTAAGTGAGCTTGGACGGGCTTCAAGTCGGAGCACATCCTGATTCGTTCATGTTATCTTTAATGAAATGTGCGGGGCCCAAACAGTTGGGTTGGGCTTTAACTGGTCATGTTTGGGTTCCGACATCTAAATCCTAAGGCAGACAAACCCAAATCGCTTTTTCTAGAGCCCAATTACAAAACAATTATGCTGAACCGAATAACGTCCAAAGTCCAAAAGTGTGGCTCATAGTTTGCAAATTCCTCGATGGGTCTGGTTCATAGGCTGGCATTTCTACTCCCTGTGATCGTTCAAGTGTTCAAAATCCAAATCATCATTATAATATTAAATGGCATTATTAACAATTAAAAAAAAAAGTGATGTTATATGATATTACAATGATGCCCTCGACGCTTGATTGACCACAAAATTCAAAAGAGACGTAAACATATCAAGATACATGTTCATTAATTTATTAAGTGGCATAAAAAAAAGTGATATTTTTATACGTATCACGTAATATGTCAGTTTGACCTGAATCAGCAGACATTAGTCTAATGATCTCACGATTGTGGATGAAACATTTTATCAATTAGCTCGTGCTTCGTTGTCAGGGTGATCCTGTGAAAAGATTAAATCTGCGAACTTTTGCTTCAAAACAACTTTACGAGCTAAACTGTAATGACAGCCACATTTGAAATCATCTTGGTACTACATATCTAAAAACAAATATTTACATGTCTGCCTTGTGTGGTTTCTTGGCGAGAGAAATGATGAGATTATTAAAGAAGCCTTTGCCCATGCGGAGAGGCGTTGCTGCATTCTTGGCAAACCTGTGGAATAAGTCGGCTATAATAGCTTCTCCAAAATGGCTTGCTAGGATAGGTTCCCAAGCTGCTCTAACGAATGATGCCACATGGGCTGCTCTAACATGTTCATCGCAGAAGCGTACCTGGGAATGGGATCCTAACTGGTTATCATCAATGCAGAAGCCAGCATCATGACGGAGCTTAAACGTCTCCACGTATACAATTTCAAAAGAACGTTCCTCCTCAATTATGTGCCTGACTTCTTCTACTGAAGGCGCATAGATTGGAACATTGAAACTGTCCAGTTTTTCTTCCTCCAGACTTCCCTGTGGATATGCCAATCATCAAGTCAATTCAGATATAGAGTGGAACTTTGTCTACACAATGTTTCTCTATCGAGGTTACAGAGAATAAATTTGCATCCTTTTTTATTTATTTATTTATTATTATTAGCTAAGGTAGGAACTCTGAATAAGCAAGCTAGATAGCTATTTATTACTAGAGTATTTCCGATCACAAGCATCTGCTGATGAAAGGGAAACAGAAATTAAGACCTCGACAACCAAGTCGTTTATTGCCACCTCAAGTAAGTCTAAGATATTTGGGCCGTCGAATTCATCTCCTTTACACATGAAAGTGAGGAGGATTCGGCCATGTGAAACCAACTCTTCCGAATGCATCCTGAGAAATGTGGTAAAATCTTTCGTAAATTGATCCAAATATGCCTTCTGGATGGCCGGAGGACTTGCTTTGGAAGAGTAAATGCTCCCTTTATTCGCACTGATCCCCGATTCAGTCACCAAACCACTGGGAACCTGTCAACGTGACGCGTCTCAAGCTGGTAACTTGTTACATTGTTGGAGCATTTTGTTAGGGTCAATTGCATGTGGGAATACTACAAATCATGAGCCGCGACCACACCAAAAAAAAAAGAAAAAAAAGGTTGTTGATTTCTTGAGAAATCTTTTCTTGGGTTGGGTTCTTGGGGATGTCTTGAGAATTGTTAAAGAAGCCTTCCATGCATAGTTACTAATGTGTTGAATGAAAATCATGCATGAACTATCTTTGCTGCAAGAAAATGGAAAATGATTAGAGGGATTGATTCAAAAACCTGAGATAACCAATGGAGACTGTAAGAAGAGTGTAAAAAATGGACGGACTGCTCGGGGAAGAGTCTGCCGTAGAAAGAGTCTGCTATCAGGCACGATCCTATTTTGCTTCCATTTTCTTTTTCAAGTTTGCGGTAGAAGCTTGGCAGCGACTTGATAACCGTATTGAAATCATTTTCGAAAAGATCATTCAGAAAAACCTGAATCGTGGGCAGTGCAAATTCATTGTCCATTTCCTGGCTAACTTTGTCAATACTTTGTATGATGTCCGAAACTGTTAATAGTGTGTTTGGTCCTGAAGAGCATCCCAAATCAGCAACTCTAATGCACTTCTCGTCGTAGGGTAAGTTGGTCCGCAACAATTCTTGTATGCATTGTTCAAGTACAGGCTTCACCTTGGTCAGTACCAACTTCTACATACACCACTCAAAAAAAAAAAAAAGTTAAGCCAAAAAAAGGGTACGCTATGTTAGAGATCAACGTATCACAGTCTTGTGTTACCACTCCTGTGACTGCGGGCGCGTGCGTGTGTGTTTGTCAAAGAGGGATAGACAGACTTGGTAGGATGAATTTTTGGCGTAGCTTGTATCGCCTTCGCCTCCACTCATGTGCAGGACTCGTTGGAGTTCCATTTCTGATCTCTTACTTAATCGAATTTTCGACAATCTTGTACAGGAGTATTTATCCTTTCCTCATCATCATCAATCCAAGTGTCCAAGTATCGGTATCATCATCATCATCATCAATCATCATCTTCAACAAATAATCAATCCAAGTGTCAGTATTGGACAGCTTTCAGAGATGCCATTACTGCTCATCCTCCAAACGATCCTCATTAAATGCCCATATCCCTTCTCTTTCCGGTCCAAAAAGTGGAATGTTCGAATATAATCAGCACGTATTGCCTTTTTTGGCAAATTTGTTAAACATAATCTGAGTACTTTTTTTCAATCACATATTTACATACTCCCTCCATCCCACATTTGTTTGGATAAAGTATTATTTGAAATAATTACTGTAACATTCTTTATAATATGATGTATGCGAGATAAAAAAAGGTGATTAAAAATATAAAAAGATAGATTGAAAAATTTATTTATAATGCAAGTAAAATATTATTTGAAAAAAAATTTGATATTTGTCTTTCATCTTAACCAAATTATAGTCCCTTTTTCATTAAAGAATGTACTTAACTTTTAAATCTCTAAAATACACCCCTTATGTAATGTATGTTGTTATCAATGAATATAACTATCTTATTAAATTATAGAATTAATCTTTTCTACCCTAACAATACTACACTCCCAGCGTTGGATGAGATGTAACATTTAATTTAGTGAGATGTATTGGCATATCAAAAGCCACAAGTCCCACAACAATTGCAAGGGTATTTCAAAAAATGGTAAGTTAAATTTATTCTTTTAATAAAATTAGCTAGTTTTCCTTGTAGAAAAAATCAAAACTATCAAGATGACATAGTACTTTAATAATCCACAGTCATTTAGATCAAGATTCGTAATGCTCATAAACAGCTTATGTCCAACACAACCTCTAATTTGTAACGACATAGAAATTAATTCTTCAAAGCAAATAAGATATCCCAGCTCCAGTCTGGACAGGGAAATAAGAATTGAGGGCTTTTCCTTGTGTCATTGTTAGGCTCACTTAGGGCTGAAAAAAAAAAAAAGAAAAAAAAGAACCGAAATTGATCGAACTCGAGTCAAACTTGAGTTGACCAAATCGAATTCGAGTTCGAACTTGAGTTCAAATTATTAAGCTCGTTCGCTAGCTCGAGGATATATATATATATATATATATTTTTTTTTTAAAAAAAAAATTTTAATAGTAAAATTACATATATATTCCTAATATGTTATTATTAATAAGAAACATAATTATTTGTTGTTTTTATTAGAATAATTTCCAGAAACTCGAGCTAACGAACTGCTCATGAGTCAGAAATTCGAACTACATTATGAGCTGACAATTTGAGCTGCTCGCGAGCCTTATCGACTCAAGTTCAAGCCTCGCTTTTCCTTAGTCGAGTCAAGCTCTAGCTCAATTTTTTTAGCTCGTTGAATTCGAGTTCGAACTCGAACTTACCTGTTATTAAGTCGAACTCGACGCGATAAGTGCAAAACTCGACTCGATTTGATTCGTTTACGGCCTTGGCTCACCTATGCAGCTCCCGTTCTTCACGTCCTATTTCCGGATCCCAACAGAAAAACAAGAAATCGTTGCCCAATTGTTTTCATCTTAACATGTCCTGTAACTTCTGAACTTTGTGAAGTAATATATGGATGGGCCTTATCAGCCCTTTTACGAATCCAAATTTCCACCATCACTTGAAGAAAGACGAATTGAATTGTACTTTGGTGGAATACACACCATACAATCGGGATTTTGATGTGCATCTGCATTCAAGAAACCCTTTTAATAGTTGCTTCCAAACTGTCTCCTCCTTTCAGCATCTCATCATCTTGATGAAGTAAGATTTGCAGGCAAGTGAAGAGAATTAATGAGTCATTAGGATATTTAGATTTTACTCATTTTTTTTGTATCAAACCCTTCTCAATTGTCTCTCTTCTAACAAAATTTTTTCCTTTAAAAAGAATAATACGTAGTACGGTTTAATTTGTTACGTACGAATTTTTAATTGCTAAAAATCAAAGATTTGTTCATGAAAAAAATGAATTGTTGCATTTTGTGTGTTTTATTCGTATCTTTTCTAGTTCAAAGATGTACAATCATTGTAGAACTCCAACTGTTTTGTTAAAAAAAAACTGTTAACTTCTTTTGGGTGGATTGTACTATTTGATGAATATTACTACATTATGATACATTGATTGCATACAAATTTTACAGTGATTTCAGATGCAAAACGTATCTTCGTGAGATAAAAAGCAAACAATTTTTTTTTTTTTTTAAAAGAAAGAAATGCTGTTCGTTCATGGTAAACGATGCTGACCCTCGTGATGCTCAATTTTACAGTGGTTGCAAGTTGCAGCTTCAAAGCCATTTGCACATAAAGTAGTTCGTTTGCCAGAACAAAAACAACTTTATAGAAAAGTTAAAAAACAAAAAGGGGCGGGGGGGGGGGGGGGCTAACACTTCTTTAACAAGATGGCATAAATATGACAAGTTGCTTAGGATAAAATCATCCATAATCACCAACTTGCATTAATCAACTCACCAACCAACAAAACATGACACGACACGATATGACAAAGTTGGAGTTTAGTTGCCTATAGATTTAGCAACCACACAAACAAAGAGTACAGCAGCATTCGCTGGTGTCTGGTGACAATATTGTCAGAGCAGAATATTAGCTGCCGGAGCAAAATTTCAAGACAGGTTTGCCCATTAACCTCGCCAATTATCAATAAACCCCACCAACAATCCTTCATTTAAAACCAACAAAAAAAAAAAAAACCAATTGCTTTTCTCCTTCAAAACCTGTTCCCAATCACACCATAACAATTGCAATCCAAGACTAGGCAAATTTACACTCTTATTACAGCGGAGTGGTCCTGACTCCTAACTCGACCTTGTCCTAGCTGGATTATGGATTGCATGGTGGTGGTGGTCGTCGTCGTCGTGGTGGCACTGGTGGAGATAGCTGTTTGGGATTGTCCTGCGGTGGTTGAGTGAGGAACTACTAAAAGATGTGGGAGCTCTCCGGAGGAGGAGTAACCCGCAACCGCTATTCTTTACACCGTTTATATCAAAGTTATTAAATTCGGCTCGGTAAGGAACTCGGCACAGGGACTGGGTCACTGATTGAACCGATGAGTATTAATTTAATATTTATAAATACAAAATAATAATTTTAATATATATAAAATATATAATAAAGTGCTTTTAAATACTAATTATCATGCTTAGAAAGATATATAATAAATATATAGATATTAATAGACGATTTAATTTCATTTTATCATACTTTTAAATAAATAAATAGTATAGTCAAGTATAAAAACAAAATTTATATCGCTTGTTTTAAAAATATAGCATTATTTTTTCATTATTTTATTTTTTATTTAAAAAATATAATTTTCTAACTAATCAAATATTGTCAATTTAAAAGTTAAAAGGATTCATTATATAATAAAAAAAATTATTTAGTTATCAAATAAAAACTAAGCAAGTGGTAAAGTCTATACATATTTCAATGAATATCTAATGTACAAATCTTATTAAAAGCATAGATACACTTTTGTCTCGAAAATAAAGACCCACAATTAAAAAAAAGGGTTAATCGGATCAATTGAAAAATCGAGCGAATTTTCGGTTGAACGATCAGATCAACCGGATTTGATTGGGTTAATTGCTTATCCGATTCAATTAAAAATTCGATCCGTGTCACGTCCAGATCATCGGACCGATTGGTTCAACCGCTAGGTCAAATCGAGTTTTATAGGTATGGTTCACATATTTATAGAATTTATAGCCCACAATTTAACTATTGCCATTGAGTATTAGAAAATAGAAATAAATGCATTGGCCTCCGAAGACACGCTAAAGATTGAGATGAAAAAGGAAAGGTAGCGGGATCATCAAAAAAATACATGCATGGAGCTCGGTAGCAGAGATCGGCGTCAAAATGCAGACACGTCATCTAGACTGCCTAAATATTTGCATGAAAATGGATAGAGATACTAGATTAGCTTGCTCCACGGTCCGTACATGAAGCGCTGAAATTTGCCACGCAACGGGTGATGATATATTGGGTGGAAATTTGTCAAATTGATCCCTAATATTTATATAAAAAAAATTTTTAGTCTCTAACATTTAAAATCAATCAGAATAGTCCTCAACATATAAATTATGATTCATTTTTGTCCTAATGCTCGTATTTGCTCATTTCTCCGGCTAAAAATAGTACACCTCTCTCACGTAGACATATTTTCAAGGGTAAATTTGGAAAACATCAACTTTTCTCCCCTTTTCAAGAACAACATTTTCGTATATTTTTCTTTCCCTATTTTGAAATTAGGGTTTTTCTCCCATTTTGTTTCTAGACATGGATTCTTTGCTAGCGAGCTATGCCTCTTTCGATGAAGAACAAGAAAATAAACCACAGCTCTCAAATCTCAGATCCGCTGGATTTCTCTCCTTACTGCCACCCTCAAAATCTTCATCATTTTCTTCTTTCTCATCCATCTTCTTTCCACTTCCCCCATCCCAATCCCAACCCCTAAAGCCCCCTGTCTCATCGTCTTCCTCAATCCTGAATCCACATAAATCTAATGGACTTCAAGAAGAGAGGGATAGGCAGCAATTGCTAAAAAATCGAGAAAAATCGAGATTTTTGGCATCGCTTTCAAAACTATCGTCATTTTTGTTTGCTTTGCTTCCTTAACCCAAATCATCTACCACGTCATCTCTTTTCTCCTCTTCCGCAACCCACCAAAACCCATAATCTTGATGTTTGGGCTTCGCCTCCTGCACAATCTGCTAGAAAGAGGGTGGTGGTGGATCCTTGGCGGTCGGATCACACAGCTTTAACGGAAAGGTGACGGAATTAAGCTCGTCGAGTTTAATGGTAGTGGTTCCTTGGGGGATCAACAGCAGTAGCCACACTGCTAGGGGGATCAAGCCTCAAATTGATGCGGGTGCTTTTCAACTTAAGGAGAA